ATCTACTTCCATCTTTTTAAAAAGATCATGTCCCTTGTTTGGGAAAGTCTTGGTGGTAATTAACAGGTTTCCAATACATTTTGAATGCTAAGAAGCTTTTGAACTTGCGGGTACAATCCAAACATGTCCATCTGAGAGAAAAATCAAAATCAGGTATAAATTTGCCCCCTAAAAATTAAATGATAAAAGACAAGGAAGTGAGGAGTGATTAGGAAATTAAATCAGGATGCTCATAATTTTAATAATGGTGAGATTTTTAAAACTTAATCATTGATTCTAATTGGTTACAGTATACTGGTTACTGCTTTAGGCATGATAGACAAATGCAGAATTCCCAAACTAAGCTGTCTCACTGAGTTTTAAATTAGGCCATATACGTAAAGTTAAAATATAAGGGAATGGAGTAGGCTAAGATTTTTTAAACAGTTTACAAAAAGCATTGCCATTAAAGAAACAATGATAAATTGAACTTTATTTAAATTGAGAACTTACCTTCATCAAAAGACAGCATTAAGAGTCAGGCATGGTGGCATATGCCCATAGTCCAAGCTACTCAAGAGGCTGAGGCAGGAGGATTGTTTGAGCCCAGGAGTTCAAGGTCAGCCTGGGAAACAGTGAGACCTTGTCTCAATCAATCAATCAACATACACGTACATAAGACAATATGAATAGAATGAAACATCACTGCATCCATATTAAAATAACTAAAGTTAAAAGCACTTGCCAATGTCATTCTGAGGGAGGATATAAAGCAATTGAAACTCTCATATTTTGCTGATGGGAGTATAAATTGGTACAACTAATTTAGAAGACTATTAGCAGCATCTAAATCTAAATCAGCATCTATTATCAGTGTACTAAATCTGAAAATAATGCATACCTTTGGGGAAATTCTACTTTAGACATGAATACCTAGGTCCATCAAAAGACATGTACAAGAATATTCATAGCAACAACAGTGGAATAGTTAAATAAGTTATGGCATATGAATATAACAGAATATTTTATAGCAATAAAAAGCAATGAATGATATGCAACAGCAAGGTGAACTTCACATACCAATTGTTGAGGAAAATAAGCCAGACAAAAAGTTTAAAAATAGGCAATTTACATTTTGATAAAGGTTGGATTAGTACTTACCTTTTGGGGAGGGGAAAAATGGGAGGGAACACTAGGAGTCTTCTAGATTTCTGCGTTTTTTCTGTATTTTGTTCTTCACATTTTTTCAAGCTGAATACTTTGTATATATGCACCTTGTGTAATTTAAAATGTAGTTAACAAATCAAAATATAACTAATAATGTTTTAAGCATAAAGAACATAAAGTACCTTTGTTAAGGTTTAGCTTTTAGTTTGTTTCTTTTTAATTTCTTTCTTTCTTGCGTCTTTCAAGGAGATACAGAGGGTGAGCTAAAGAAAATTGGAACTTGGAACAGACGAGATGCAGAAAGTGAGAGGACACAGAAAAAATAGGAAAATGGGCAAGAGACAGTCCTTAGGCACATAGGTTGGTAGAAAACACTGAGAAGAAACGAAGTAGGGTTAGTTAGATTAATAACAATGTGAAAACCATGAAAAAAGATATTTTTTGCACTCCACAAATGTGGCACTACATACCATTCTAATTTTCTAGGTAGTAGCCAATTGACCAGGGGTTAGTAACAGTCTGTATTCTTAGGAAGGAATTTGAATCCTGAAATGATTTCATCTGGTATGCTGACTGTCCTTGTTTCATGTCCATCCTAGTTCTATGGGACGCCTTCTCCAAAATAAGCATACTGTAAAGGCTTATAGGTAACTTAAACTAAAAAAGGAAATGTATAATTAGTTTGAACAGTTTTAAAGAAAGTATCACACGAGGTATTAGGACAATGCCAAAGTTCACTGACTAGCTTTTTGCAGGTTTAATAATGATATTGCTTTCCTTCACATTATCAATCTATATTATATAGTTAAGTTGTTTTACTTCAAATGTCTCCAATCGACATTTCCTTTGTATGCATATACTGAAATGATATTTAATAAAAAAGAACATCTCCTGTGTGGATTTTAAATTTCTCTTATTAAATATTTATATTTTCAAAATGTCTTTATTTAATTGAGTGAGGTGCTTGGTGCCATTTCAGAATAACCTCAGGTGGTAGGTGGTAATGACATATCAAAGATTTGACCTTTAGCATTTTAGGATTCTATTTGTCTGCATTTTCTTCTGCATTCATTTAGTCTTAATTTATATGCTATTTCTCTGTATGACTTAATGAGTAGATGTATTTGTTATAAGATTCATTAGCCAAAAAAATATATATATATACACACATATATATGAATACATATTATTTCTGTGCAATCTGACCAGTGATTTTAAATTCATTTATATCTCAACTGTGACAAGTAGAAAATGCTGTGTAGAAGGCTGGTCAGTATTTGCATAAACCTCATCCATTCTCATTAAGTGCTTGGAAGAATAGACCCTCAACCTCCTAA